ACGACGACAGCTGCAACCAAAAGAAATAGCCAGGCATTGTGGTGGGCGCCTGTGGTCTCAGCTACTTGGGAGGCTGAGGCAGGAGACTCACTTGAGCCCAGGAGTTGGAGGTTGCTGTGAGCTGTGATACCAGGGCACTCTGCCCAGGGGGACAGCCTGAAGCTCTGTCTCAAAAAAATAAATAAAATAAAATAAATTAACTTTACAGGGCAGTGCCTGTGGCTCAGTGAGTAGGGCACCAGCCCCATATACCGAGAGTGACAGGTTTGAACCCAGCCCTGGCCTAACTCCAACAAAAGAATAGCCGAGCACTGTGGCAGGCACCTGTAGTCCCAGCTACTCAGGAGGCTGAGGCAAGAAAATCACCTAAGCCCAAGAGCGGGAGGTTGCTATGAGCTGTGACACCACAGCACTCTACCAAGGGCAACAAAGTGAGATTATCTCAAAAAAATAATAATAATAATAATAGGGTGGTGCCTATGGCTCCATAGGGCACCAGCCGCATATACTGAGGGTAGCAGGTTCAAACCCAGTCCTGGCCAAACTGCAACAAAAAATAGCCAGGCATTGTGGCAGGTGCCTGTGATCCCAGCTACTCAGGAGGCTGAGGCAGAAGAATCTCCTAAGCCCAAGAGTTGGAGGTTGCTATGAGCTGTGTAACACCACGGCACTCTACCGAGGGCAATAAAGTAAGACCGTCTCTCCAAAAAATAAATAAAATAATATTCCAACCCCTAGCACTCTCCACTCAAGCACTGGTCATCTGCCGAGGGAAGAGGGAAGACACAGGAAGGGGTATATTGTGAAAGCGCTATCATTTGAGAGCCAAGCTGTCTGGGTGTATCTCCCTGCATAGCACTCATATCATCTGCTGCCTTGCTGCCTTCATCTCTCCACTCTTCCCATCGAATGCCAGGCTTGAGCAGAGCACATGCTCCCTCTTCCAGGTGCAGCAAAGCATACTGGCTTTGAAGTCAGACAGAAGCTCTGCTGCTTACCAGCCATGTGGTCGTAGCAGATTATTTAACCTTTCCAAGTCTCATTTTCCCAGTGCTGACACATAATAAGTGCTCAAGTACTGTTTAATTGTTATGAATCTATTTATTAACTTATACGCAGAAATAATGCCACCTATTTCATGAGATTCTCAGGATGTGACATTCTATAGGTCAAACACTAAAAGTCACCTCATGCCTATAATCCTAGCACTCTGGGAGGTTGAAAAGGGTAGATAGCTTGAGTTCATGGTTCAAGACCATCCTGAGCAAAAATTGAGACCCTGTCTCTACTAAAAATAGAAAAAACTGAAGCAAGAAGATCTCTTGAGTCGAAGAGTTGGAGGTTGCTATGAACTATGACGCTATGGCACTCTACCCAGGGTGATAGCTTGAGACTGTCTCAAAAAAATAAATAAGAAAAAGAACACTAAAAATCACAGTTGATCAGGGCCTATCACATCATAAATGCTCAAATTTTTCCTTCCATTCTTCCTTCCCTAAATTGAATGTAGAAATTTAGATTTGTCTACATTATGTCTAAATATAGAGTACTTGAAAGTACTCATAATACAGTTAACCTCCTCTATGAAGGTTATACACTAAGATCATCAGGTAAGGTTGGAATTTGAGAAAACCTCTCATATAACTGTCCTAGAGGTAAGAAGGGAACAATGTGAGGTCAGCCAGCAGTGATTCTAAAATGCTAACTCTAACAACTTTCTAAATATTTTGTGATCTGGCACAGAGCCTCTGTGTTAAAGGACAGGGGAGGACACAAAGCCATGTACATATCCCTCAAAGTTTATGGAGCAGACACAGAAGGGAGGTGCGGGTACTCTGGAAGGGTCTTGGAATGACCCTTCCAGAGAAGGGAAAAGATGGCATTTTCCTGAGTGTCCCTTAGCTATGGATGCTGACAAGATTTAGTGCTTATGGCCGGGTGCACCGGCTCATGAGTATAATCCTAGCACTCTGAGTGGCTAAGGCAGGATAAAGCTCAGGAGTTCCAGACCAGCTTGAGCAAGGAGACCCGCATCTCAAAAAAAAAAAAAAAAAACAAAGAAAAATTTAGACAGGCATTGTGGCAGGCACCTGTATTCCCAGCTACTCAGGAGGCTGAAGCAGGAGGATTACGTAAACCCGGAAGTTTGAGGTTGCAGTGAGCTAAGCAGTCCATACAGCATTCTAGCCTGGGCAACAGAGCAAGACTCTGTCTTTAAAAAAAAAAGACTTAGGACTTGTTAGACAAACAAGCTCCCACACAGCAAGGCAAGGGGGTAGGGAAGAGGCACAGATGGGAGGGGAAAGGTAAGACAGGTGTTTTGAAATTCATTAAAATGAGTAAAGTACTGTTCCTTGTTTTCAAACTCACACACACACAAAGACTTTAGCACTGCTAGAGATGGACTCAATAAGAGTGATCTTTCTACAATGCAAATCTGCCTTTCCCCTATATAGAACCCTATAAAAACATTCATGGCTTAGGATATAACCCAAATTCCCTGAGAATAAAGCTCCCTGCCCTTAGTGTAGAAACCAAAGTCCCTTGGCTACTAAGACCTGGCTGCAATCTGCCCCTTTCCAGGCTCCCCAGCATCCCACAGGGTGGACAGTCACAGACTACCACTCGAGCCCTCCCTCCAGACTAAGAATGTGTCTCATCATTCCAAGACCCAACAGCATGCTTTGACACACAATAACCCTCAAGTGCTTATTGAAACCATTAAACTGGCAAAACAAAGCCCTTTGAGAAAGATAGAATTAGAACCACCCAAATTAGAGACCACACCCTCAACTCTTGAGTTCCCAAAATGGCCTGAGCCAGGGATACAGCAGACCTGAAAGACGAAGTAAAATAAATTTCCTGCCTCTCCTTACACTAGGCTTCACTTTATCTGTAATTGTCAATGAAGATGAATTTAATCCCTATTATTTTATACTGTACGCAAGTCCTCTGAAATTGTGTCAAGAAAGATGTATGACAAGATTAGATTGTATGGCCAGCCAGTAGCTCATGCCTGTAATCCTAGCACTCTGGGAGGCCAACGCGGGTGGACTGCCTGAGCTCACAGGTTTGAGACTGGCCAGAGCCAGAACCAGAGCCAGTCTCTAAAAATAACCAGTGTTATGGCAGGCGCCTGTAGTCCCAGCTACGTAGGTGGCTGAGCCAAGAGAATCACATGAGCCCAAGAGCCTGACGTGGCTGTGAGCTCTGATGCCATGGCACTCTACCAATGGTGACAAAGTGCGACTCTGTCTCAAAAAAATAAAAATAAAGAAATTCACGTACCCTCAAGAGTTCTGATTGCACATCCACAGTCAAAAAGACCTAAAGCACTTCAGGTTCCCCAGGATAAACAGCTAAATACACTTTCTTTTCTCAACTCTGCATAAGAAATAGCTGAAGAAAAGGTTAAAAGTAAAGTCACTTTCCAGGCAGCACCTGTAGTTCAGTGGGTAGAGCGCGGGCCCCATATACCGAGGGTGGGGTCAAACTGCAACAAAAAAGCTGGGCGTTGTGGAGGGTGAGGCAAGAGAATCGCCTGAGTTGGAGCTCGCTGTGAGCAATAAAAAAAAAAAGTAAAGCCACTTTCCTTAGGGCTTGTTTTTACTGCTGTTGTCAAATAACTTTCAGGGCAGCCTCTCCCATCCCAAATAAGACTTTCTCCTCCACTCCTCCACATGCAGAACAACTCCTTTTTTTTAGACAAGAGTCTCAAGCTGTCGCTCTGGATAGAGTGCTGTGTCACCATAGCTCATAGCAACTTCAAATTCTTGGGCTTAAGCAAGTCTCTTGCCTCAGCCTCCCAAGTAGCTGGGATTACAAGCGCCCACCACAATGCCCAGCTATTTTTTTTTTTTTGGTTGTAGTCACTGTTGTTTGGCAGGCCCAGGCTGGATTCGAACCTGCCAGCTCCGGTATATGTGGCTAATACCTTAGCCACTTGAGCTACAGGTGCTGAGCCTTCTTTTTTTTTTTTTCAGTCTCACTCTGTCACCCTGGGTAGAGTGCTATGTCATCACAGCTAACAGCAACCTCAAACTTGAGCTCAAATGATCCCCTTGCCTCAGGACCCCCCAAACAGTAGCGAGGACTACAGGCGCTAGTTTATCTATATTTGGTAGAGACAAGGTCTCACTCTTGCTTAGGCAATCCACCCGCCTCGGCCTCCCAGAATGCTAGCAGCAGCGGCCTAACTCCTTACTTGAGCTCCAAAACCTAGAATGCAAACTCTAAGAAGGCCATGATCTCTGTTTTGTTACTAGAGAATCCCAAACACCTAGAACACTGCCTGGCATAAAATAGGCCCTCAATAAATTACTGTATTTACTCAAAGCCTGATTGAATGTGCAGATGAAAAGTACCTTCTCTGTGAAGCACTCCTCAGTCTGCCCTGAGAACTTATGAAACCCTCTTGCATGTTACCACTGGGGCACTAAATATTTAACCTTCAAAAAGAAAGAAACCCACAACACCAAGCAGTGTGCTGTAAACCATGGCTTTGCCAGTGAAAAGCCACAGCAAGAACAACGTTCCTTGGTTCTGTGATTCAGAGTGGTTCAGAGTACAAAGGCACAATTCCTTAAAGTGACAACCAAATTAAATACATCTGTCTCTCTTACGCACGCACTCCACCTTCTGCTGCAGAAATTCTCCAACCCGGCAGCACATTTACAACTAACTGGGAAGCATTTAAAAATCTGGAAGCCCAGTCCACACCCAAGTCCAATTAAATCAGTTTCTGAGATGGGAGGCAGACATAAACGTTTTTCCAAATAGCTCAGCGGACTGCCAAGTTTGAAAACTACCTTTCTATGAACTTTAGGCCACCCCTGGAAGACTTGTTCTTCCGAGTTTGGGTAGAGTAGACTTTTGGGAACATGCCAAAGACCTTCAAGCATGTGATCTTTTGTAATCTCCTTCCACCAAAATTCCCACCTCCAACCTCTCAAGCCACGTGGAATGGGCTTCATCGACTGCAGGGCGTGGCAGCCACCTACCTTAAGGCTGCAGGCTTCCTCCTCTAGAGAAGCCATTTCTTCTACAAAGGGGTTGGCAGGGCGTAGAGGGGATCCCCGTGATGAAAGGTACCCGCGAGTTCTCCGAATCAGGAAGCCTTTGGAGGCGGCCCCGCCCACACCTGGGCCGGAAGAATCGTTAGAGTAGGAGGAATTTCTCCCTCGGGATGAGCCCCAGGGTAACCGTGGCTTGCAAGCCACATCATCCTCCTCCTGGGCTTTCAAGCACTTGGGGCTGCGGGCCCCTCCTGAACGCGACACAGAGCTATGAGCTGGCCGGCTGGAGGGGGCCACATCACTGGGCTCCCGGAGGCAGCTGCGCTTGCTGGGACACCCTTCCGACGTGCTGCTCCAGTGGTACTTGACCTTGCGCCTCTCCGACGCCATGGGCACCTGCAAGGTAAGGAGGGCCTGGATTCCAACAGCTCCTTTCCTGGCAGCCCCACCTCAGATTCCCACCACCCCGGTCCCCCTGGGGAGGGTAAGCCTGAGGAAGGTCAGAGTGAGGGACCGGCCTCACTGACCTTTCCCTCTTCTTTCCACTGCCCATCACAGTTCTCAAGGTTTCCGAGATACCAAAGCGCTTCGACTCAGTTTGCAATTCCAAAGCGCTTCAGAGAAGTTAAAATCGATCCAAAATTTACTAAAGGCTTCGAATTGGCTTCCCAGCCCACAGCAGGCTCTCCAAGATCCCCAGGCGCTTCAGTTTGCACGGCGCTACTTCGGAGACGCCAAAGCGCTTCCGGGACTACAAAGCCCTTCAGAGCTGTCAGAGCGCTTCAAAAGACCACAGGCGCTTTAAGGTCCCCACATGGCGGCCGGACCCGCAGCCCTAAGGCCAGGCGCGCGGGCGGGAGGCCTTGGCCGCCTAGCGCCGGCCGGAGGGCAGGGCCGGACTCGGCACCGCAGCTCGCCCTGCGCCTGCTGCCTAGCCGCCCCGCCGCCCCGCCGCCCAAGCGCTGGGCC